AGCTCCCCACTTCGGATAAGGCTACACCCCCCCACACCCCCAGCGTTTAAAAAAAAAAAAGCGCCTCTTCCCATGCCCGGGATTCCCTCGGGGGGAGGGGAGAGATGAAACCACCCAGAAGCAGCCCTTTTTTCCATCCGAGGGGCAGACAACCCTCTCTCCCGCCACGACACCCTTCAAGCTGCTCCCCGAGGTCGGATGGGCTGGGGATCCCCGTTATTTCTCCCTCCCCGCTTCATTCTCCCTCCAAAATGCAAGTCGGCAAGCGGGCGGGGTGCATCCCGCCTTCTTGCTTCCTCCCGTGGCGAGAAGCCTCGCGCCTCGGCCCCGCTGCCAATCACTCAGGGATGGCCCCCGTGAATCCCTAAAGACCCCCTCATAATCTTGGGGGACAGTCCCCCCAAAGCATCTCCACAGCCGCTACCCCACCAGAGCTTCCTCGCGTGGCGGAGGAAAACCAGGAGGGGGGACGGGCAGGGCAACCCCCGCGCCCTCTCGGGCATCCTCCCCCTTCCCGCCCGAGCACCCCGCACCGCACCTCAGCTGCTTCAGCCGCGCAGAACTGAACTGTTCTCAGCTGGCGCCGGCGCCAAGGCTCTATATGGGCGACGCCTGCGCATGCGCCAGCGTGGCTCCCGGCTCGTCCCTCCAGTCCGCGCCTGCGGTTCCCGGGCTGCGGATTCTCCCGCCCGCCTTGTCCTGCGTGCACTTCACCCCGCATCCAGGGCCGAGGGTACCCCCGCAAGGGAAGGCCGCTCCCTCCACCCCAGCAACAAGAGCCCCGCTTAGTCTGGAGCTGCTGTCTTCTTTGGAGGTAGAGGAGAGGTTTGAAAGCTGCTTCTCAAAACCGGAGCCACGGGCGGGGGGGGGGGAATCTCTTTCTGCACCCGCTCAGCGCGCTTCGCAGAAAGAAGCACGAGCCGGAGGAGTTCTGCTCCAGGCTGCTTATTTCCCCCCCACATACACACGCCGGCGATTGCGCAATAGCGCGCCGTTCAGTCACTGCCGGAGACCAGCGCGTCCTCCTTCCCCTTCCAGTCCCGCCAAATGTACTTCGCTGACATCACTGCTTCAAGTGGGCTCCCAGCAGGGCTGACCACCCTCGCCTCGCCAGTGGCGCCTGGTGCTCCAGCCCGGTAGCTCCAAGGGGTCTGTCGCTCCCTGGTGAGATGCCAGATTTGTACCCGGGGAAGCAGCCCACGGGGATAAAACGAAGCCTCTTGCCAGATTCGTTTGCCCGAGGCAAGGCCCGCGCGTCCTTTCCCAAGGTCTTTCCTCGTTGCCACGTGCAGGATACGGGGTTCCCCTTGGCCCCAATCCGCGTTAAGGCCATTACGGGCAGCACCGCCTCGGGGAGCCCTCGGAACCCGACGCTCCCCGGGTTTCAGCGAGACCCGCTGACTTGTTTGGCGCTTTGTCGCCGCCCCTGGGTGGAGTGAAACGGCGCGCCCCAACCAATGAGAAGGGAGAGAATCTCGGCAACGTGGAGTTGTCAGCAAAATGTAAACACAGCCGGTTTGAAGGGTGGCTGGAAAAAAAAAAGCGTTGCTCTGCTTTCAACGCGGGGACTGCAACCGTGGCTTCTCTAATGTTTTCTTATTAGAAAACATTGCAAAACTTTGTACCTTTCGTTGGAAACAAACCCCATTAAACCCGATGGGTTGACTGTAGAGAAGCGTAGAGCGTCATTCGGCTTTAAGGAGGAAGTGGAATGGCATCGATTTCCTTTTGCACCTCCTGACAATTTTCTTCGGATAGGGAAGAATTTTAGACTTGAACTTTGGAATTTATCTCTTCTTAATGAGTTGATTTGAAAATCCAAAACTCTTAATTTTTCTTCCCAAACACCCTGTTAGAGTACTACTGGTGCACTTTGTTTTCCTGGCAGATGCTCATTGCTCTATTTTGCAGGTGGGTATCAGCTTTGTCTTTCATTTTCCTTTCATTTTTGTATTTTTTAGTTGCTGGCAGTTTCCTCCCACCCTTGTTCATTATTCTTTTTAGATAGTCAGCTGTCTAATATGATGGTAGCACAGCTCTAGTTGCAATACAATATAAGGATATGACTGATCTGTCGAACTAGCAGTTACACTTACATGTTTTTTTAAAAAAATATCATTTTCATGCACATTTTTTCCTGTAATCTACTCCACTGCATAAATATGCCTTCCTGAGTCATACATGGAAGCAAAATCCCAAAAATTTTAAAGTGATCAAAGCCTAGATAGCTAGACAAAAACCACTGGTATATTTAAAGGTTAATTGATTAACCCTAGGATGGCAGAAGTACTTCAAAGTGGAAATTAAATTGCAGAACCATTTGAAACAGTCGGAGGCTGTTGTCTCCTTAGTAAAGGACAGTGTAGCATTGGTTGACTTATGTTGCCCAGGCCATTTAGCAATAAGGGCTTTCCAATGGCTTCCTGGGTCATGCAACTTGTTACCTGCAATTCAGCATTGGCAGAATCAACTGGCACTTGTTCAGAATAGAGTAGCAGAGAAATGAGAAGGTCTGTTGGTATACTACAAAAGGCCAGTTTTTTGGCTTGACCCAGATGCTGAAAAATTCATCTGATTTTATGATGTACATCTGCCTGGTGGCGATGGTTGAAGGTTAACGGAGTTTCTGTGAGCTAAATAAAATGTAAGGAAAGGAAAGTAAAAGTGGATGTAGATGTGATGTATCTTTAGGAAGTTTACATAAAATAGGATTATAGAAAATTACTAGAGAAAGTAACATTTAGAAACATTATATACAATATTAGCATAAAACAAGAAAGGAGGAATTATATATGTCAAAGAAAAATAAAATTAAATAAATATACTTGGATGAAAAGAGGTGAATTTTAATGTTGGAAATAGTATTAGAGTAAAAACAGTATATGCACTAAATATGAGAATATTTGTATGATCACCATGCTTAGATGGAATTCCGGTCGAGTCTTATAAAAAATATGAGTGTTACTACAATGAATAATGTTGGATTCCTAGTAAGTAGTAGAATATGAAAGAAGGAAAATGTAAATAAGAAACAATGGGGCAATAAGGACAAATATTTCAAAGAAGAAAGAGGGGGGAAATGTAAAGAATAGAAGAGTACTGTTACAAACTGCTGTTAACAAAAAAGGATATATTACGTGTGTATGTGTCTAATGTTTGTTGTGTTTTGTTTTGTTTTGTTGGTCTAAAATAATAATAAAAAACATTATAAATAAAATGTAAGGAAAGGAAAATAAAAGTGCCAAGGGGAAAGGTGATAAAATGGATATGGTGAATAACTGAGATTGAATAAGTTTTTGATGATTAACAGATATATTCTCAAGGCAAGGCAGGGCTGAAACTGGAAGATATCTCCTTCCACTAGAAGCAATATAAAAAAGGTTCTCCAACCTTGAAACTATAAGAATATGTCTTTGAAATCATCAGGAGTCAAATGAAAATGTATCTTATACTCAATTTCAAACATTTTTTTGAAAAAAACAGGATGACAATATTTTTCTGTTTTTCATAGATAAAATGTCAATTTATCTATGTAGATATATATCTGCAGTAATGTTATTAGTCACAGAGAGCTTGCACCAGATTTCTACACAGGTACCTTTGTGTTGTTTTGCAGCAGATAGTGTCCCTAATTTTAAAAAAATCTGGGCACATTTTAAGTTAGTTCATTAATCAGTTAAGTTAGTGCTATTCTGGTACCTGTCTCTGAATTCCATCAACTTTTTCAACAGTTGCACTACATTTTATATTTAAAAGAAGCATTATCTGAAAAGTCTTCCAGAAAAAGCTGCAGTTCTGTGCAACAAGAGCCTTGGTGATCAAATGATGCTATAATGAGGGGTTTGTACTTGTAAATTATTTCAAAATATCCCTTTGCAAAAGCCCTTTATAGGTTGAAGAATTACCATTCTCTAGGCAGTGTTTCAGAAACATTAACATATCTGCCTTATTTTCGAAAGGGTGCATCTCATCCCCCAAGGCCCCATTGCAGCAATATGATGGCTTGCTTAGAAAAAAGCAGCCCAAATGCAGAATTGCCAATACACTGCAATTTTGAAGACACTGGAAATTTTCCTTGATGGTGAGCGTAAAAGCAAGGGAAAAGATTAATCTGTTTAGGGCAAATCTTAATTAGCTGGCAGTTCTCTGCTAGCTGGTTTGACCCACAAATGGGTAAACATGCCTGTATCCAAAGTTTCTCTGTGTTCAAATAGGTACAAAATAATTTTTACAAAATTTTTACATATTTTACAAATTTGATGCATTTGAAACCAGATTCAGAAGAGATGGGAAACAAAAAGACTAAAAATCTCAAGCAGCTGAAGTCACACCACTGGTTTACTTATTGTATAATAGTAGTATAAAAGTAGTAAAGTTGGAAGGGACCTTGGAGGTCATCTAGTCCAACCCCCTAGGGGGCTCAGGCAGGAAACCCTACACCATTTTGGACAAATGGCTGTCCAGTCTCTTCTTAAAAACTATTGTAAATAGTTTGGTGGTATTTGTCATCATTGATGTCTGTCTTGGGGTTCAGACTTTTCTAGCCCTGCAAAGAATTGCAGAGATGAAACTTTCTCTATGAAAAGACTTGTTCCACAATTACATTTCCCTTACCTATTGCAATTGGTATCAGAATTCTCCTTAGACACAAAGGTTATTTAATCACAGACCATAGTTGGGAGGTATTTTAGGAGATCATTTGGTACCTCACACTTCTCAGTGCAGAATTACTAAGGAAGGATTTTTCAATTCTTGATGTAACTTTATTGAAGTCAACAAAAAGCTAGCAAGCTTTTAAATCTTTAGAGTTTTGCAAATTGGGTTAAATCTGAAGTGTGATGAGTAATCTATGCCTGCTCCACTCCCACACAGGTTATCCCCACAGCATTCCAGTAAATACTTTTTGTCACTCCAATTATTTTGCAGTGACACGTGCGCACGCAGACACACATACACAGAAAGAACTGGTTAATATAGAACAAACATTGGATTCTGAAAACTCTTTTTATCAATTGGCCTTTTTATTGACTGTTTCTCCAGAGCACATTATGAAACAAAATACTTAAGTTATATAGATGGGTTACTATAATTAATTTCCCTTTTTTTTCTGGAGACCCTTAAATCCCTTTATTTGACCTGTTAGATTGCTACCTATTAAAGCAGGACAGAAAATTAGATGTGAAAATATCTGTGCCTCTATCACAACTGGCAAAGTGTTAATGTGATGAATTCACAGAAGAAATTGCAGTGCAGTATAGACCTGCACTGTGGCCCAAAGGAATTCAAACCATGACCAAATGACAATGATGCTGTTGCCCAAAATATAACATACACAAGGAATAGATGGGAGAGAAACTGATCTGAAAGGCCTTCATTACAAAATTCCTGGTCTGGCTATTCTTTGAGTGTAATAAAATGCAACAATTTACATTGATAATGTGTTGAAATACAGTGCCAATATTTTACCATTAATATATCAATTTAAAAAAACAGCCTACAAAGAAAACTCAAAAGACACCAATTTCCCCAGGTGAGATTGAGCGATTCATACATGTTAAACTGCTCAATGGATTTGTTTCATAGGATAAGCCAAACTAAACTGTAGTATTGACAAACACACTGGTATCCAACTTTTCTTTAGGCAGCAATCTTAAGACATCATCCTGAAAGAATAGGAGAAGTTCTGTTAATGTAACATCACATGATAGGACATGGCCAAAAGTTGTTGAACCATTTGTTGGTAGGATTTAGTGGTTTGGATGCATTTAAGGAAGTGTGCAGCCACTGGGAGGTAAATGCTTTGATTCCATTGTATTGTTCAGCAAAAAACCTAGCCACCAAATTTCGGCAGCTAGTCTTAAAAGAGACTCCAAACGAAGCATGATAGACATGTGACCAGAAACTGCTTACTCCTAGCCTAGCACAGTACTGTATGTAGACATAACCATAAAGTGCCTGCTATGTGTTCTGAGTCTAATAAATTGGGACAGTGGAAAACTTCTACTAACCACTCTGGTTTTCGAAATATGGGAATATTACCTTTTTGTGCATACACATTAAAATATACAGTTACTTTGCAAAACTTGTCTTCTTCATGGGAATAGATCATTGTAAAAATGAATGAAAAATGAGTCCCATGCATTTTCAAAACGAAAAGAGTGGAAAAACAATTAGATGAAATCAATTTTCTTTTTGTCATTCATTTTCAATTATCCTGTATTAGATTCCTATTCTGGACCAGAGTTAATTGCTCACATGGAGATACAAGAATGGGAAGAAATAGACTATACAAAGAAACTGAAAATTAACAGGCTAGAAATCCATCAAACTTGAGTAACTGGTTGAGTTTGAACAGTTTTTAAAATCTTGTTAAAAGTCCCCCCCCCCGCCTTTTAATCCATCTGAAGAGTGACAGGTCTGATGTCCTGTTTTAACAAGGGCCTGTTTTGCAGCATTTTGCGCTTATCACCAATATAAAGGCAATAAAGTGTGTTTGGTAAATGAATAAATAAGCAGAAGCAAAATGTTTAAGTTTTAAATGACTGGAAAATCAAAAAGTTTAAGCATTAGAATGGCATGAGAAAAATGACCTTCCTTGCTCACCCACAGTAGTCAAACAGTTTTTATCAAATGACATGTCATTGGTGGAGATCAGAACTGCAGATTATGATGGAGCAGAAAGACAAGCAACATTATGACCTCCTTATGGGTCAGCTCGAACTCCAACAGTCCTCAGCTCCAGCCAACATGATCAAGGGCCAAAGAAACTATGAATCTGAAGTCTAACTCATTGCTTCTGAAGGTGCTCCATTGCTCCCTGCTGTAGGCGAATCAATTAAGGAAACGGTACTATATCAAAACCAACTGTCATTAGACAATGGGATTTCATAACTAACAAGGCATATTCCCTTCTCATTCCAGGATAAGAACGGGGTGTAGTAACTGTTCAGGCTCTGATCATTTTGAAATGTTAAGTACTGTAACCTGTATATGGTATCAACAGGATGGCCAAATCTTGCTTACCAAAAGTTCTGCCACAGATACAAGGAAAATGGCTCCACAAACAAGCTGCCATTGAGAACGCATAGGCTGATATACAGTATTTATCCAAACAGAAAGCCTCTTTTTTGTATCTTCAAATTCAAGTCTGGTGTGTACAAGTCATTGAAAAAGGCACAGTTTTGTTTATAATATGTATAAAACAGTTCCAGCAAAGTTATTGAAATACCACTCAACATAGCACAAGGCCTTCATTTTTACAAGTTATTACACTTGTTTTTTGTGGAAAAAAGATACAGATATATAAAAAGTCATATTCTAACCACAAAACACACATTGTTTGAAAAACAGCAAATTCTAATACTCTAATAGTTTCAGGCACATAATAAAACAAGCTATATAAATATACAAGAAAAGAGTCAGGTTTAAAGTTGTATGTGTAAAAATTCCTTTCACCATAGCATTATTTCCAATATTAAAAACTGAAAAGCAGGTATTTCTATTTCCCCATCACTAGCAAGTTATCCAGTAAAGGCAGCAACTGTACCTCTCAATTAGAAGTCTTAACTTCAAATTCTTGCTAAATCAGGAATTCAGAAATAAATGTGGCCTTTATTTTAAAATTCCTAAAAGTAGACAATGAGAATACAATATTTTCTCGGGAAAAAAAGATGAAGATGGCTAAGAGTTACTTGCTGGTACAGTACGTTATTTCACTTAATCCATTTAAAATCCAAGCCAAACATGAAACGGGTTCCTGAGTTTTAGAAAAAAATACAGTGATGGTGCTGTGAATTTGACAAATAAGAGGTCCTGAGTGACTACTAAAACAAGGAATGCCTTTGCAGTTTTTAGAAACTGAGGGACAGGATTCAAGATTCAGATCACAGAAATTTAATAAAGAAACATATCTCCTGAATCCTGGAAGCCAAATGGCAAATTCAAAAAAACATGGGGACAACCAGAAAACAAACAAAAAGCTACTGGACTTTGCCATCTGTGGTTTTAAATTGCTTGTAATTCTTTGGACTTTTCTTTTGGGGTATTTGACAAATATTGTCTGTATAAAAGCATGAATCTTTTTTTTTTTAGAATAACAAGGAAAAGTTAGTTAAGCTTAAGTGAGGAATATACAGTTACACAGTGACAAATTTAGGTTGCCTAAGAAACAACAGAGAAATTTCAGATTTCTACTTCAGCAATTATTCATTCCTTTTATAAACTATATTCCCGTACTGAATTTTGAGAAGGCAGTGGTGAATTGCAGTTCTTTAAAAAAAATACAATTTTCATGAATCTGATGTAGATTGAATCTAATGGACTGAAATGTGGCAGATCATGCTTATAAATCAGTTCAAAATTGGAGGTGCAGCTTTTGGCCTAACCACAATTAATAAAACCTGAAGAAAAAACATTCTACACCTCATAGTTAAATAAAACAGGATTTTAAAAAATGTAACACTCATACGGGCAATCATTCAAACGAACCAGGGCAGAAGACTTATGCATTTCAGCTCTATTAACCTCAACAGGTTTCCAGAACCTTTGATTAAATGTTGTGTTATAAAATAGTCTAAGTAACATTAGATTGTTTTGCGTAATTGACTTTAGACCAATGCACCAAGAAAAATTATTCATTAGCTTTGTTGACAATAAGGAATGTTTCATTTTATCTGCTCTTTGCCACACTAATAATCTTTGTGTTTTCATAACATCTCCTTTGTCTGTGGAGATCAGGTGTAACCTGAAACCAATAAAATACAACACTGAATCTATACTCAGTCTATAGCCATCTTGGGGCTGACTTTAAACTTGAAGTCTCAAACTTGAGACATCTGGCCTAATTTTGGAACTTTCTTACATCCTCCCTATTTCACTTTTGTAGCTTCTTACCTGATTGAGAATTCTAGAAAATGTTTGGTTAAATTTCAATGGTCTTTAACTATCAGCAAGTACGTAATAAGATTTTGGATTTTCCCCCAAAGGATCAATATGGCTTATCACTGCTTTTATGAAAAGTTTACTATTGTTCTTCAAAGTAGTCTTTCCCAAACTGGATGCTAGATATATTGAACTACCATCCCCATCATTTAAGAATAGGATGACTAGAACATATACTCAAAACACATACTCAAAGATCAGTTCACACTGATCTTCACTTGTAGGTCTGTTACATTCCAGAAAATACCTTCTTTGCACAAGAAACTAGTAAACCATATTAAACCAGAGATTTTGAAAGCTATGTAGAAAGATATCAGGTTACACATTTTTCCTCTTCACCTTCCCTCTACTGCTACATAGAAAATAAATTCCATATTAGGAATATAATGCCATTCAGGCAACTGTATTTTGATGGTTATGTTAATATTTTAAAAGACAATCTACAGTATACACAGATCATTGCAAGTGTATGGGTGACCCTGAGAAATTCTGTAACTACAAGATGGCTGAAAGATGCCTTATATCTTGGCTGTAAAATACTAATATAAAAAACAAACAAACCCATCCATACCTAATAAAATTTATAAAGTCTCACAAAGGGAGGCAAAGAGGCACAATCACACAAACATTACTACACATACTGCATATATGTTTACCAGCTACAAACCAAACATTGAAAAGGCATTTTGTGACGCTGAAATCAAAGTGGTTTTCAACTGAATTGTAACACTCAGTGATTGTGTAAAAACAATTCATGAGCATCCTAAGACAGTTCTCACCTTCATTGTCTCACAATAGTTAGCCAATATTATTTCTGGGGAGAAAAATGCAAAACACTCTCAGTAATTATACTGACGCTGGCAAGGCTGGTGAACAAAAAATCCACTGTTCTTGAGTTGCCGTGTGTAGGGATCTCTGGTTAGATTTTGGCGACGGAGGCAGTTTCTCTTCAAGGACTGTCTTTCACTGAACTCTTTTATCCACTGGGAAGGACAAAAACTCTTGGTTGAATGAGCAGCAAGTGCAGCAATGTAGCATTGGACGTGTTGGCCCATTTTGCTTTGGGCTTCAGATCTAAAATTCCAAGCAGAAGGATGGAATTAATAGCGCCTGGTTATAGAGCAAGGACACGGGCACATGGCAGAGTTTTCATGGGTAGCCACAATAACACATGACACAATGATTCATAATCTGGTCAATCACATTCCAATTTGTGGATATGTGGGCCCAACCTATGTATATAGGTGGTTCTTGCGTTCCAACCCTAATGGAGCCATCATGGTCATAAACTTGTGATTGTCATAAATTGGATCACCCACATGACCAACCTGATTTTATGACCTTTTATGCGGTAGTCCTTAAGCAAACAAGTGGTTTTCTATGGGCTGGTTTTGCTGAAAATCAAAAGTAAATACTGACTTTCGACAAAAACGCCATAAAACATAGTACATGAGTGCAGAACACTGCAAACAGCCATAAATGTAAGCTGACTACTGAGTGCCTTAAATGTGCTAATGTGAATGGACCTGGGGGAGGGGGTGAGTGGTTCGCCATCAAAACTTTGATCCCCGTTGTAAGTACCACCAGGAAGGTACGTCATAACCTAGAATGGTTGCTAAGTGACGGGTTGTAGGTCGAGGAGTACCTGTAGTTACTTGATCGCTCACAACATAGGTTAATACTATAAATCCTCTTTAATTTAACCAAGGGCCAAAGTCTGTGCAACACCAGACATCTAGTATCACTGAAATACAGTGGACAGCACTTTCTCCAAAGTGATACAAAGATACTATACTTCTTTCTCCAAAGGAAGTTGAGGGAAACCTTTGGCTGCATGGTCAAAGGGGAGTGGAAGACTGAGGTGATTAACAGGGCTTCAAGCAACAGGCAGTTATACAGAGGGAATTAAGGAGCTCTTGATTCACATGTCCTGCATGGGGGGAGGGGTGTCAGTCTTTTATCCAATCACTGCCCCTTCACTTTCCCTCTTCTTCCTCCTCCAAATGTAACCTGTGTCTGCAGTTCACCCTGCTGAGAAATATGAATTTCACTTAGTGCGCCTTTTGCAACAGAAGCAATTTTGATGACGAAAAGATATTGCCAAGAAGGTATCTTCCTGACAAGGCTCAGGAAGGAAATCGGTTCCTCTGCACTACAGTAGAGTTACTGAATGATGCACAGAGCAAAACTTTCAAATTTGGGGTAGATGCTAATAAGATTTGAGATGGCACTGAGAAAGGGATCCTGAAATCCTGATCATTAAGCTAAATGAAAATATCATCTCAATTTATGGGCACTGTCAAAAATGTCAGCGTCATACTTCAAAATATTAAGAATATTTCTGATCCTCTAAAGGGAAACTGTAGAGCGGCAAGAGGAGCAGAACCACCAAAGGGGTTAACAGAGGTGAAGCAGCTCTTGAACAAGAAACACTAGTGGCATCTGGAATGTTCCCTCTTCGAAAGATAGAAAAGGTTAAAATGGTAAAAATATATGAAATCAAACATATTATGGAAAATGTGGCTACAGGATAGATTTTCTTTATGGGTATCATTTATTGGCACGAATGCAGAAAAAACACAAGTATTAAAAGGAATTAGTTCCTTAAATATGGAAATAAATTGCCATCAGATCTGTTAAATTGCCAATTTAGAACTGTTGAAAAGAGGATTTTGAAAATCATGAATAATCCAGCATATTGTCTCTTGAATCGTTCACTAGCGGCACAATTTAAAAACTAATTGCTAGAAAGGAAAGAATGGAGAGGGCAATTGTGTTTATGCTCTATTAATAATTTTCATGAGCATAGATCATTGGTACTATATTATATATTAATTTTGAACTAACAAAGCCTGATTCAGGAAGGCTCTTTGTTCATTGAGTCATTTTCCAGGCCTGAAAATCTTTATACTTGCCACTTTTATTAATACTGCATCTTTGGATTATCTTGATAATTGCAAAGGAAACAGGACTTTAGTTTTTTTCTTGAAAACATTTTGCTTCTCATCCAAGAAGCTTCTTCAGTTTTTGGATGAGAAGCAAAATGTTTTCAAGAAAAAGCTAAGAAAGAAAGCCCAGTTGCCTTTTGAAAAGCACCTTTGAACAACCATGATCTGGATGATTCAGTCTCTCCACAGACCTGCAAAGGAAACAGTAATGTGGAGCAAAAATGAGCATTTCTCACTGATTTCAGTGCACTATACTTCAGTTTCACTTCCAAAGCTTGTATCTCAAAAGTGCTTTTTTTTCTTCTTCTAAAAGTGGAGTCTGTTTTTTCCTTGAAGACATTTCACTTCTCATCCAAGAAGCTTCATCAGTTCTGGCAGATGATGAAGTTTCTTGGATGAGAAACGAAACATCTTCAAGGAAAAAACAAAGAAAGTCCAGTTGCCTTTGGAAAGAAAGAAAAAAGGCAGCTTTGAGACAATCATGACTCGGATGACTGAACATCTCCATAGACGCTCCCAATATTTATATATATACGCCCTTTTCTGAATGAATGATAGAAGACTAAATCTGAAGTGTCACTGCACACTTGCTAAGGGCCACATCTCAATAGGAGACTCACCTTCATCTCCTGGTGTTTTCTTATCTATCTACCTTAGTGCTTTTCTCACTCGCTCCTATTATCCTTTTACAAGCAAGCAATGACAAAGGTATTGATACCATACACTCTGAGCTCAAAGAAGAGAAATGATAAACAGTGATGGAGGGCCAGAGTGAGGGAAGCAAGAAGAAAAGCATTCTGCCCATAGTATCATTCACACCACTCATAATAATTTTCAATGCTGTCTTAATGTAATTTTCCCAATTTTTTCACTTGGTTACTAGCACCTCTACATTTTGCCTGAATCAAAGAATAGAGAACATACCTATGATTGCTTTCATCACGGGATTCCACTTCCTCCTCCCCCTCCTCCTCTTCCTCCTCCTGTTCTTCTTTTTCATCACAATTGTTCTTGTTGAGGTTATGACAGTTATTATGGATTGCATATACAGACATGCTGGGATGTTCAATGAGCAGATTTTCCAGTGGGCTGGTTTCTACTTTGAGAGTGGTTAAACCACCTGCCGTAAAACATGGAGGGGGAGTGATGAACCAGCTTTCTTCCAGGGGGCATGAGTCTAATTGGATGAAGCAGGATTCACTGGCATCTGCCAAGCAGTCCAAGGAATCAGGCAGACAAGAGAAGATAGGCGAGTGGTCATCAGGAGGGGGTTTGCAGATGTTATCCACTTCCTCCTCTTCTTCTTCATCAACAGTAGAGAAGCTTGAACAGGAATCTGTCAGGAATTACAACAGTCTTTGAGATATACAAGAGCTGATGAAAGTAATGGAGACTGGATATTCTAAAGTTAGCTTTCTAATAGCCAGGGACCTCTATATAGATTAACAGCATATATCTCAACTCATAGAGGACCTAGTTATGGAAGATTAGTTTATAGCAGTGGTGGCGAACCTATGGCACGTGTGCCAGAGGCGGCACTCAGAGCCCTCTCTGTGAGCACGCGCACCATGTCCCGGAGATGGCAACCGCCCCTCTTCAACCAGCCGCCTGCTAACTTGCCGAGGTCCCACATGGCCAGATGCATCCCAGCATGGCTGATTTCCCTCCCCCCCATCCCATCTCTCCTGGCCTCGCATGCTCTCCTTTTCCCAGGCACGACCCACTGCATCACCTCCTTAGCTGTCGGCCGGCCGGCCAGCTCAGAGGCAGCTTCTCTGAACTTCTGGCAGCGGACTGCGGAGCCCCAGAGTGGGGCCGACAGGCTGTGGCTGCTGACAGACACTGTCGGCCCCCATGCGCTCACTGGCCTCTGTGTGCGGAGGCCAGTGGTGTCAGGCAGCAGCTGCCCCGGCCCCTGCCTCGCCTTGCCCTGCGACAATGGCACCCCACCCTGCCTCGCCTCACCCCACAGGATGAGCCTCCTGCCTACTGCCCCATTTGCCAGAGCCCCCTGGATCTCCCCCAACCCTGCCTACTAGCAACATCGAGGTGACCACGTCCACCTTGGCAACGCCCACCCAGTCTATCATGACCACAGCCACGCCCACCTGGCACCCAGCGATAAATAAGTGGATTTTGGGTTGTAGTTTGGGAACTCGGTCTCTAAAAGGTTCGCCATCACTAGTTTATAGGAACAATGTATAAATTGTTTACAGAATTTATATATAGCTTTACAACATCAAAAAATAATCAAGCAGTTCATGTTAAGTACCATATATAAAACATTCCATCAAATTAAAAATAATACCCAGAGAGTGTACTGGGAATTAATTAATACCTATATCTTACATTTTGTGTGTGTGTGTGTACATAGAGAAAAACAGGAATCATACTAACTTAGTTTCAATATTTACATTGAAAATTCCACTTCCTTTACCTGAGGAAGGTACATGAATATTATCCCCTACTATGGATAAGAAGGATTTTCACACCAAACCAAAAGCATGTAGTAGCCATCTCCAAGCTGGGTGTTCCTCTATCCTTATCAACTACAGCCAACATGACCTCTAGGATTGCTTTGGCCTTGCTGCCTATCAATCTGCCACCAAGTTGGAGAAAGCAGCCTTTGAGAATTTATCCTTTTGTTCAACAATAACTGAGCAAACTGGAGCAGGGACAAGAAAGAATAAGGAATGGCCGGTCTTCTGCTATAATCAATTGTTGAAGGAAGCACAGTGAAATTAAGCTAGTTTTGAAAAGGTGGGCTAAACAGCTTGAAGTTATTATTGTTCTCTTCCTCACATCACCCATGTTTAGCCCAATTTACTGGCTGCAAATAAAGAACTTTTTGGTATAAATCAGGGGTTCTCAACCTTGGCAACTTGGGAGTTGAAGTCCACAAGTCTTAAAGTTGCCAAGGTTGAGAACCCCTGGTATAAATTCTCCCATTTAGACATTCTGTTTAAAAAGGTATCTTACCAATAAAATCTACCAGAATCCACTCTTCTTCTTCTTTCTCACTGAACTCTGGTTCTTGGCTGGGCAAATTACTGAGTTCTCCCACAAACATATTATTCAGCCTCTGAAACATTACTAAGACGAAACAAGACTCTGGCTAGCACTTGTTTGCGCCCACAAGATGAGGTACCACTCCACAGCGTACCAATCAAAGTTTAGGGTGCAGATAGAAGATTAAAGTGCATAAAAACTTTTATCAGCTGAGGAGAGGCATGGTTTGTAAACAGTTGCTACAAAAACCTGCAGAGAAGACAATAAGAAAATAATGTTAATGTTCTGTACAAGCACAAAACACATCATGCATCTGCATTCAATTAAACCTATAATTCTCAGCCATGATAATGTTATATATGTTGTGTTTACCATGGCATGGTAACCAGGCAAGCTTGCAGAAGAATTCTGAGAGTTAAACTCAGAGTACCAGTTTGGAAGCTGCCACATACTCAACAAAGACCCCTGGATCTGTTTGGTGGATTTTGGACTGCTCATAAAATTAAAAACCAGACAAGTCTGCCACCTGTCGTGCTATGCCACATGGGACTTCCATAGGGCACTGTAGAAAAGGAGACCTCCCCTTTTGCCATCAGCAATGTATTTATGTTGTCAGATATCTCCTTTCCCATGTTGGCTGCCTTGCGTATTGTATTCCCCAGTCTGGCTGCCTTCTAAATATGCAAGTCATTTCCCAGAATTCTCAGCAGTAGTCACACTGGCTTAGGAACCTGGAACTTGGAAGTCCATTCATCTAAAACACTCAGGTTGGTCACAACTGTGCTAAGCATAATAAGAACTGTTTGGGATTGGCCTAGTCCAGAGGGTATTCTATGGATTGCATTCTATTTTATAGTGTTTAATGAATGGTGACTCTATCATCAAACTTCAGCAGCAAAAGTCATTAACTTTTAGCAATGTGGTTTGTTACTTTATTTTCCCCCCAAGCATCAAAGAGAGAGAGTGAGAAAATAACTAACCATCTTCCATTGATAGCTTAAAAGGCTGTATGGACCCAATCAATTATGATTTACTAAACAAGCCAGCATTAAGATAATATTGGTTAATACAATGTGTGAAGATACTCCTGGTCTCCATTTCTCCTGAGCTTACAAAACAATTTTTTGTGTTTTGGAATCTATTCTAAATCCCTAAACTTCATGCTTTTTTGTCTGTGGTCATTTCTTTAAATATACTGCAGGAATATTAAAAGTTCCCTTTGTTTTTTAGAACATACTTTTGCTTTTTAACCATATCACTGTTTCCAGCAGGGGGCTCAATACTGAAAAGATTTAAGTTCCAATGTTCTCATCCAGAGACCATTGACCCAGATCCTTCAGTTTTCTTGTTTTGCATATTTGCAGCATGGTAAGGCAATACAGAGCTGCAGTAGGTTTAGATTATTGGCTTTAGAACTTGTCCAAACAGCAAATCAAGCACACCACATAGACATGGTTTACTGTAGAAGATTATTTAAAATAGTTACTTACAGAGGAAAAATATACATCTGAATATCCTTATATACTGTAGTTATACTGTACCAATCCAACTTTTTTTTGCCCTGAATACAAATGTAACTGTTCTAAAGGAGTTATTTTCCTCTAGTCAAGCATCACAGCTAATTAAAATCATTAGAGTTCATGTTCGTGGAAGTCTGAGATTGCATCAGATTACATAAATTGGGTTTACCCATGCCCACAGTGAAAATAAACAAACAGAATAGTTGCCCAATATTGGAGGCATCTGTACAAAAATACTTTTGAAATATAAAGGGGTGGAGGTGGGTGGGAAAATGATTTTCTTCTCTCCAAAGAATCAAACTGATCTATTATACCAAGAATACATTTGCTTAGGACAATCCAGGAGGCAATGAGGACTAAGCTTACTGATGCTGGGGTTTGTAGTACTGAACACATGGGAGCCACAGCTTGTCTGTGCATGCATTTTAGGATATTATATGACTCCCACCCCCACCAAAGCTGCATCTATCCATCCAATCTATACACACACACACACACACACACACACACACACACACCAACTGGGCCACATTTCCCTGAAAAGAAACGTTCGCCAGCAAATTCCCCCCTAGCAGCGGCAGCGCCTGGCTGCTCCAAGGAGGGTTAGTCACACCTGAGCGCCAGGAAAGTGCCCCAAAGTACTGTAGTTAAGGAAGAAAGAACGCTGAAAAAAGGCGACTTCTCGCTTGTTTAAACAAAACAGGATATGCAAAGGAAGACGGCAACCCAACACCGCTCCAGCCCTTTGGGCGGGACCAAGCACTTCCCGCTCCTCCTCTTCCATCTCACCAGAAGGCGGCGAAATGCGAAAGCGACTCCCGCGGCAGGTTGCAAACTAGGTAGGGAAAGTGAAGAATGTATGCTAAAATGTGAGGATCGAGGCCCGCCGACTCCTCCGGCGCGAGCCTGAATCCCGCCGCGTTGCCAGGCTTTAGGTGCAACTTCAGCCCCAAAGTTGCGTACTCCGAGGATTGCAGCAGGCGGATAGCCTAAATGGGCATCTCTAAAGCTGAGGTATTTCTGGGTATTCGCCCGAGAGTCCTCGCTGAATGGATAGTGACCTTCGAGCGAAAAGGAAATGTTTTCCGGCCGTCAGCCTTCGCGCAGGCGCCCCTAAACTCGGTTTGGCGTTGAAAGCGCAAACCACGTTTTTTCTCCCCCTTAATTTTTTTTTTTTTATCGCCGCAGCCACTATTCCGCGATCACAGCAAAATTACAACTCCGAAACTGAATCTGGATAGCAGACGCCGATCCATTTTGGGGGAAACTACGATTTAACGCTAGGCATATTAAATGCAGAATAAAACACATTGGAATTGATCTGCGAGTGAATCTGTGTCAGAATCCAATCATATTTCATCTTTAATTATCAAATATAGAAACTCCCAATTCTGCCTTCTTTGGATTCTGCCATAAGAGGGAGAGAAGGGGGAGAACAAAGGGGCTTTATGGCCCTCACTTCCTTCAGTAGACTTCAAAGAGCTGAATGCTGAATGTGTGTTTATTGTAACCTATTGTAACCTCAAAGCGTTAGCATCCAGAGAACATTAGCATTAACAAAGAAGAGTATTTGCCTTTCATGTAGTTATCTGAAGTCTCCATCCAGACGGAAGAAAGAAGAAACGGGGTGGAATTGTGATACTTGAAACTATCACTGGAAGGGGGGTTGATTGGGTGGGACTACTGGGGAACCCCTTAAAACCTTGAATGGGAGAGCTTGGACCCCAAGTCCTGTCTAGCATGCCTGCAACCATTTTCTCTTAATAAAGGATTCCTGTTGGAAGAATTATTCCAAGAGTTCTGTCTTCTTAAGATGCAAAGTGGGGTGGGTCCTTACAATCTGCATACATTGCTTAACAGCGACACCCACTCATCAATCTCACTCGTCTAATTCCAAGTTTCAGCTCCGGGTAGGCCACCATTTAAAATGCCACTCGAGACCAAATACTGATAAAAAGTAAAGCTTAAACTTTAGTAAAATCCAAGTAGAAACTTCCTCCCGTCCCCCCCCGTCCCCCGAATCTAAACGGTCATCCTTAGGAGTCTCTGAAATCCCTTCGCCTTCTTCCAAGCAGCCGCACGGAAATCGCGAGGGCGGTCGAGGAGCGGACTGCGTTTGAACAGCTTTCTCGGATCGCCGTCTGAATCGTCTCTCTCCGGATGTGCGCTGACTGACCTGCCTGGCGCTCCCTCCGAGGAAACGCGAGCAGGTCGCGGGGCTGGAGCTAGAGCGAAGAGACCTGCGCCACAAGTGGTTGCGATGAGCCGCCGCTACACTCCTCGAGCGAGCTCGAAGCCGCCAGCGGGCTTCTCAGGACGCGGCTCTGGAGGGAAAAGCGAGGGATGGAAGAGGAACTACTTTTATTGCGGCGTTACGCCTCGCCTCGCCACCGGTCCGGTTGTTTACAGCTTTGCAGAAGGGGGAGACGGCTCCTTGTCCACGGAAGGATGAGAGAATGGAACTCGATCAGCCCACCGCAGCCGCCAAACCTAAAGGCAGCGGCGATGAGAATCCCCTCGCACCCCGTTCAGATCTTTAAATAGGCTCCGGCTGAAAGACGGGAGCGACCAATCCGTCCAGGCGGAACATGCCCGGGCGGATCGCGCGCCCTTTGCGCCAAGCGCAGCGCGCATCGGGGAAGTCGCTCTGGCCACCCACCCCGATCCAAAGGGCAGCCACGGCGGCTTCACTCACCGTCTGCGAACGTTGGGGCAGAACGAAGCTGGACGGCGGCTACTGAGGTAGGTGGCAGGGCGGCAATCGTCTTAGTTCCTTCAAGGCTCCCTGTTGCGTCGGCCCGTCTCAGCTCCCGGCTGAGTCTTTTGTTGTTATAGAATCCAGCGAACAGCTGATCGGCAGGGGCCGTCCCTGGCCCCGCCCCGGCTCCCCCCACTTTCCCATCCCATCCTGTGCTGAGTGTATGTATCTCTGCGTGAGAAGGCGGCGGGTGGGGGGGGGGGAATGGACAGCGGCTTCGGCTGCACCAATGTGAGCCTCGCGGTGTTCGGGGCCGCGCCGAGACAGGCTGTCACTAACGCACGTGATCTGGCCCTTCGCTGCGGAATCAAAGCAAGTTCTGAGCGGTTGCAAGCCCGAACAACAAAAGGAGTTGAGGACAAAGTCGAGAGAAGTTGAGGGAGGTAGAAGAAAGAGGAAAATTTGGGAGGAGGGGAATGGGAAAAGAGAGAGAGACAAAGGGATGAAAGGTGGCGGAAAGGAAGAAGGAAGAAGAGACGGCCGGGTGGGAAAATACTGCATAAGAGAAGAAAGGGAGAAAAAAAGAACTGAGTGATAGGTTGGAAATGTTCCAGCTGTTCTGAGGTTGAGTAAACATCTGGGCATGGAGAAACTTCTCAATGTAATTCTAAGTTTTATCTCCCCAATTCTCAGGCTCTGCCAAACTTTATCTCCCCAGTTCTCACAGAATATTTCTGTCTTAGCCCCCAGCTGGGAATAAGGAAATGCAGATCAGGGTTTAAGAAGGTGCCAGTCTTCTGGGGTAAGGGTGGGGGTGGGGAGTTTCCACCTGTAAATCTCATTCATGACAATTCCATACATTTTTATAGTTACCAGCAAAACTGTTCCTGTAAGAAATTTGCTTACATACATATTACTGGTTTCTCAACTTCAAAAACTTTTAAAATGTGTGGATTTCAATTCCCAGAATTCAACAGCCAGGTGTAAGATGTATGGACTTTAACTCCCAGAATTCTCTCTAGCCAGCATGCTGGTTGGGAAATTCTGGGAGTTGAGGTCCACACATATTAAAAGTTGCTGAGGTTGAGAAACACTGATTTAAAACACTAGTTCTCTATGGCAGGGGTGTCAAACTCAATTTCATTGAGGGCCGCATCAGCATTGCGGTTTCCCTGGGGGGGGGGTGTAGCCAGAGTGGGTGCGGCCTACTGGGTGGGCATGGATGGGGTGGGGTGGGGTAGTTTCAGCAGGCAGCGGGGCACTCTCCTCACAGTACCGAGAGGTTGAGCTGGACGGTGTGAAGCTTGGCAGCTTTGCACCTTGCTGCCTGGTGAAACTGGGCAGGCTGGGGGCTAGGCAGCATTGCACTTCTCATCAGATTCGTGGCACCTGTCTCAGCACTGTGAGGAGAGCGCCCCGCTGCCTGCCAAAACTGGGCAGACGGAGTTGGGTGGCCTTGTACTTTTTTTTTTGATTCGTCCAGCTCAGCCTCTCGGCACTGTGAGGAGAGCGCCCTGCTGCCTACCAAAACTGGGCAGGCTGGGAACTGGGCAGCCTTGTGCTTTTTTGGATTTGTACTGCCTGGCTCAGCCTCTTGGTGCTGTGAGGAGAGCGCCCCACTGCCTGCTGAAACCTCTCCCCCATCAAGCTGGATATATGAAGTAGGCGAGGGCCTTTTGCTGGCCACTTCCAGGTGATGGTACATTTCTTCATTCCTCACAAAAGGTGACACCTCCCCAGCATGCACCCAGGGGGTGGGGCCAACGCGGCAGGGGCTGGTTCCTCGCTGTTTCCAAATGGCCTTATGGAGCTAAGACTGAATGCGTTTCAGCATAGATGGCCACCACAAAATTGTACATTGGCTCCCGGCTGGCCTGGGCTGGGGCCAAGGCAGCGGGGGCCTTCCAGGATGGCTTTGCGGGCCACATGAAACCACTTCACGGGCCGGCCTTGTATTTGACATGTCTGCTCAATGTCTATATAAAATGGTTTTAAAGAATTTGAAGCAAACTCTAGAAAATAAAATATTTAGAGACCAGATATTATACTGGCTTTGAATAACTTCACTAATGTACAGTTTAAATACAATTTAGAGGAGTACAATACTCTGATTCATACACAAAAATAATTTCTAAATATTAAATATGCATACCAATAATGTATCTTCATTACATAGTAAGCTATAATAGAGATTAATTGACTGTGACCTACTGTGACACAAGGGAGACAGCATAGAATTATATTGTTTCTTACTTGTTAAGCCATATTAACAAGCCATTTTAGACCTGCTAAGCAAAGTATGAAGATGCTTATCCAATAATTTCAGTCCAAAATAGCCAACTTTTGCTGACCTTTGCAGCAGGGTTATTTGTGGAAGGTTTAAATAAGAGAAGATATGCTGGTTGTAGTGTAGCGATTCTGGCGTTTGCTAAACTAGAGCCCTTAATCAGAATAGAGCTGGAAGGAACCTTGGAGGTCTTCTAGTCCAGCCCCCTGCTCAAGCAGGAGTCCCTATATCATTTCAGACAAGTGGCTGTCCAGTCTCTTATTTATTTATTTATTTATTTATTTATTTATTTATTTATGAGACTTATATACCGCTTTAAGTGCAAGCACTCTCTAAGCGGTGTACACCAGTAAGCAATGTATATATATATTTACATTGCCCCCAACAATCTGGGTCCTCATTTTACCTACCTCAGAAGGATGGAAGGCTGAGTCAACCTTGAGCCGGTGAGATTTGAACCGCTGACCTGCTGAACACAGTCAGCTAAAGTGGCCTGCAGTACTGCACTCTAACTGCTGCGCCACCTCGGCTCTTCTTAAAAACCTCGAGTGATGAAGCACCCACAATGTCTGAAGGCAAGTTATTTCACTGGTTAATTGTCCTCACTGTTAGGACGTTTCTCCTTAATTCCAGATTGCTTCTCTCCTTGATTAGTTTCCACCCGTTGTTTCTTGCCTTGTCTTCTGGTACTTTGGAAAATAAATTGACCCCTTCCTCCTTGTGGCTGTCTCTCAAATACTGGAATACTGCTATCATATTCCCCCTAGCCCTTCTTTTCTCTAGATTAGCCATTCCCAAATCCTGCAACCTTTCTTCATATATTTTAGTCTCCAGGCCTTTAATCATCTTAGTTGCTCTTCTTTGCACTTTTTTTTTCAAAGTCTCAACATCTTTTTTTGTAATGTGGTGACCAAAACTGGATACAGTATTCCAGGTATGGACCTTTGGTTGCCTTTCTATTGGGGATTTTTTTAACCCGCTCCCCCAAATAGAAGTGCTTGCCTTATTGTTAACTTTATGAACCTGAGTTACCTAGGCTGATTATGACAAGCTAGCATGTGTTCCCCCACAAATATAAAATAATCAAAAGTAGTATTGAACCAGCAAATCATGATAGATAACATCTGTTTAATCAAGATGGAAAATAATTGTATTAGTAATGTAGGCATTTATAATTTAGTAGTTAGATTTATATCATAGGCTGAGAGATAAATTAGATGGGTACATCTACAGATAAGGTTACTACTCGATACATGAGCAGAGTAATAAGTAATACAAAAACACCTTTGCTTAGTTGGCATCCCAGATGTAGACAGAATTTTATTCTCCATGTCTAGATTGTTAGTGATTGTGTTTTCATACTAGAAATCGGTATTGGTGTAGTGGTTAAATTACTAGATTAAAATAATGAAGACCCAGATACAAACCCATCCCTAGACATGGAAACAATGAGTAACTTTAGGCAAGCCATAACCTCTCAGCCCAACTGACCTCACAGGTTTGTTGTTAAGAAGAAACATTGAGGATGTTGTACATTATCTTTCCCTGGAGGAAAGATAAGATATAAATCTAATAAATATTATCAAATCCATTATCTAGATATTATGTTCAACTAATTTACCTTGAAAAATAAACTATCAATATTTATTTTTGTGGTCTGTAAGGTTATGGTTGTAAGGACTTTGTCATGAATAGAAGAAATGTTAAGGTTTTTCTTTTCCAGAATTATTCTTCAATAAATATTTGCACCAATAACTTCTGAGGAGGTAGACACGGTTGAGCCACGTTTCCTGAACCCAGGCCCCTTCAAGATTGTGAAAGTGGCCTGGGAGATGGCCTTTACTTGGGTTCATCCTGTAGTGACAGCCTCTTTGAAGAAGGGGTTGGTGCAACTCCTCCAGTGATTTTTGATAACCATCATTCTGTCTCCAAACTTCCATTTTTAGGGAAGGTTGTTGAGAAGGTGGGCAGCCCTACATGGCATAGGGCCTGATTACTGAGGAGTCACCTGTCTCATGTGATATCAGCTCTGCCAGTTTGATCTGTTTGAAGAAACAGTGCCATCCACCCAGACCTTAGTGCCCTCTGGAATAAGGATCCCCCAGAGAACCAGGTGGTTGCCACCCTGATAGCATTCCAGTGGGCTTTAAAGACCTGGGTCTTCTTCCAGACTTTAGGCTAGGGTGACTGAAGCCACTTGTTCCTTTTAGCTGCATTCACTATCTTATTCATTATTTGCTTTATCTGAATTTCAAATTGCAATTTGTTTTTTATGCTGTGAGCTGCCCAGAGTCAACTGATATCCAAGCTGAATACAGTACAATAATAGACAATCCTTTTAACTAAAGAAACAACTGTTAAAGGAACATCTCTTTAAGTGTACATAATTTATGCCACCATTGGAGGCCCAGTCATATCTCAATGTTTTCTCAAAGGTATTCAAGAAAACTCTCTTTAGTATGATAATCTTAATCATAGACCTTCTTTCTGAGATAGATAAGACTGTCTCTTCCTTATTCTCTTTAAATAGCTAGTTCAGGCTATGAACATTTTAACAACCTGTGATTAGATCATTTAACATCACACTCCGCATTTGACTGCATGTTTTTTATTTCTTGGTTTTATACTGAGTTTGAATTGATCTATTTAGGTAGAAGCTATATGTATATGTTTAATAAATTAACATTTATACATTTAATAAGTGCATACATGGGAGGACTTGTAATCTGTATGTGAATATTATAATGCTTTGGTTTTATGCTGTCCTTTCCTTCTGCTTATGCACAAATACCAGCAGGGACTGTTAGTCCTTGAAAGAATAATTGCAGCTCAATATTCTCTGGCTTTCAGTGGCC